TTGTATGTAACGAAGGATGCCGGAATGTTTGTATCGGAGCAAGGATTAGGGCAATCCCAACTGAGGAACGTACACTAATTACATTAGTTTTTGGTACAAATTCCCGATTTTGAGAGGTTATATTTAGAATTTATGCTTATCATATATATTTCCTGTATGTGACAGTGTCTTATGAGAGATTATCCAATTTAACTTTGTGTTACTTAAACAAGAATATTTGATATTATTTAAATAACTGTTAAATAATTAATTACAAATTGTGTGCTGGGACTTTTTGGCCCATATTTTCAAAAGATTTATGGGATTTGACTCTGGGTGCTCAAATTTATCCTCAAGATAAAGCGTTCGCTTTGTCAGCTGTAGAGTTTTTATCAATTGGTGACATGTAATTACAATCAGGATAAAATCAACAGCGATATTATTATATATGTTAAGAGCTGCATAGTTGGTATATCAATCGAATATTACCAACATCTGACAACAACACATCATGTTACAACTAAGGGAACTATGGAACAAACTACGTGTTTTTTCGCTCAGTGTAGTACTCGTATATCTCATATGTCTGCCAGTTTAATCCAATTAATCCTCGAACTTAAGTGCTCGTGATCGTTTATGTTTTGTTTTTGGTGTTTCTCTGGTAAATGCTTTTCCATTTCTATGTTGTTTTTATTAAGTTTGTAAATGTCCCAACATGTGAAACATTTGCCTCATAACCAAACCTCATACACAATCCAAAATTGTTGAGTTTTGTCTTCGGTTTTGGGCATTGTAAAAGAACTTTAGACTTAACCTATTGATTTTGAATAACAATGCTTTTCTTTTGATTATTATTTCTATTTAATTTCAGATAATCTGTGTTCATGCAATTACCTTATACCTAACACAAAACCGATTGCTCTTGATACCCAGCAATATATACGCCAATTTATATTTTTTATTTTTAGTAGAAAAAAAAATAGGGATTCATTAATGCATTGCACGGCTTGATGATATCTAAAAGATAAGACTCGATAAGAAGAACAACAGTCTATCTAGAAGATGATATCGTAGACAACATGCTTTCCATCGTGGTTATAATAAAATAACCTCTATTTGACAGCTAGTCTTATCTGAATGCAAACGCGTTGGAATGAGTACTCGCGAGTTGCCAGATAATCATTCGCGTACTCTATTAGTTTCTGTTAATATTCATCTTACACTCGTTTTCCTTGCCTTGATTTATTTTAATTTGTAATTTCAACTGAATATTTCTTAGTGTCTTATTGATAATTGGCCAAGCTTTTATTTGTTTAGATCTTTCGTAGATAGATAGTTTATTGAAATGTCTTTCACCTATATATAAACACAACTGACAACCTATTGGGACAATCCGTCAATTTTCAAGTGCGGATTGAACATTTTTGTCATCGCATCGAAAAATAGTTTGCAGTCAAAGCACAAAATTTCATATTTTTAGATGATTTTCTGGTATCAAATGAAACTTTCTTAAAACTATAGAAATCTTTTTGCGGGATCATTATTTGATTCATTAAAGGAAGAGTATTCCAAATGAGAGAATACATTTAGTTTTTTTAAATAACTTTGTCAGTTAAATTTATCTTATAAGTATGTCACAGGCAGAAGGAAGCATCTCTAACCATCTAAAGATATTATATGTTAATACTAGCTTCTGTTCTGCAAATTATATAAATTCGTACTTTCATGAACTCCTTACGTAAGGTTATATTGTAGATGGGTTTTCTAAATTGAGCTTGAAGTCCATTGAATTAGGAACCACAAGTTGGATACAATATTTTAAATAGTTTCGTGGTGAGATTCTGGAAACCGAAATAAAAGTTTTAATCCGCATTTTGCATCCAAAAGGGGTGGATTTTGCGAAAGTGTAAAAAGCCTCAAATGAAATTTCAGGGGTGCAGGGTATCTTCTAGTCGGCCAGTCCCGACTTCTTACTGAAAATGAGGACAAACTTGTACAGATTTGCCGACATTTGTTTCCAGTTTGTGGATTTTCCAACTGTTGTGAAAAGTACAGATTTCTAGACTGCGACTCATCAGTTTATTAGTCTGAAAGGACAAATAATATTTGATTCCAGTTTACAGAAATATGTATATAAATAATCTTTACTCGGCGATATCTCGATCGGGAACATGCAACAAAGTTCCTTCTACTTCAAGAGTATAAAAAGAAGAAAGATATGATATATACATATTAATGTTTACATATGTATGTATGTATTTCTGTTGTGCTTAATGAATGAAGCTTTGGTTTTATTAATTTTTGCTTAACCTTGATTAATTGGCCAAAACGTATTAACAAAAAGATGTCTCATTGAAAGTTGCTTATTGTTTGTTTTAAAAGTTTTGACAATTAATTGAAATACTCTGCAGAAGCTCCAAATTTCGCACACAAACTTGTCTGACACTGTTTCTGTGTCAGGTAAGCTAACAATTCTTTCTCAGCGTTACGCTCAGGTGATATCAGTTTGCTCTTATACACACATGCGTACGTACATGCACACATGCGTACGTACATGCACACATGCATACTTGCACATAGTCATGCACACACGAGTGCTTTAGACTAGAGTGCCTGACTTGGAGATGCCCTGCACCCAACTTCGAGCATACATTTTCAATTAAATATTTACAAATTCACATTGCTAGGTATTTTGAAAATCGTAGCTAGTTGCTGTGTTTATTACTTTAATGCTAAGGGAATAAGGAACGGTATTCTACGTTTATATGCCATAATTCCATTATGCATGTATTTATTGATACAGGGTATTAAAATCAGCGCACCAAACGAGCTCTTTGTCAAGAATAGACAGATACGCTGGAATTGAAAACTGGTGTGTGTGTGTGTGTGTGTGTATGTACTGTTTGTGGGTGTGTGTGTGTGCGCGCGCTTAAATGTATTTGTGACTAACGAGTGTGTATGTGTGCTGTGAATGTGTGTGTTTATTAGTGTTAGCGTGAGTGCGCGCGGAACACACTAATACCAGTGAGCGCACCCCACTAAAAAGCGATATTTGCTTGCGTGTGTATTGTGTTTGTGTATTGAGGCCGACTTTTCTGTCTCTGACTCTGCTGTTGCTTGGCGTGAGTTGTTGCTGGTATTGATACTGGAAGTGCTCGTACTCCAGTTGCTGCTGTTACTGTGGCTAAAGTGGCTGTTGGCTGTTAGCTGCTGAGCTGTCGCTGTAGCTGTCACTGCCTGTTGACTGTTGGCTGTTGGCTGGCGGCGTTTACGTCAGAGTTACAAACTGTGCTAAGAAATCGTATGAGTGTATACGCATACTTATAAACATGTAATATAAGTACATGCAAGTGCAAGGCTTTAATTGCAGACCGCGTGTGATTGATAAGCTCGGCGATAAAGAAACTACAGCGAAAATTTCCATTTTTACAAATTGAAAAAATAAGCGTTGAAATGTTTGCTTTTTTTTTTCTTCCATAAGTGAAAATTATTTTATTGTCTGAGAGCAGCTTATTTACTATGTTCTTGTGCTCCAGTGTGTGGATGCAGAGATGTGTCTGTGTGGAAGTTTATATATATGCGCGTTAAAGCTTTTTCTCTCTCCGAGCTGAACTGAGAAGTGTACGCTCGCATCAACTACAAGTAGATTTAAACAAATTTAACTGTTGCGCTTAAACTATTTACATAAAAATAATATGAAAATTCCTAATGAATCATAAATAAAGAGAGTTTGTATCCATGACTCGAGAGCGCAACCAAACGTGACGCCGAGAGACTGAACACGAGAGTATGAGAGAGCACGTCTTAGGTGAACTTGTGCAACAATCTTCTTGCTGAGTGCGAACGCGAGCGTGAGCGTAAGCCGATGAAGTCTTTAGCAAATACAAAATACTTTTACAAACATAGGTACAAGCGAACTTAACAAATACGTACACAAGCGATAGCAGTTACTTTTGCGCAGGTGTATGTGAGCGCAAGTGTAAGCGTATAGGTACGCTCTCACTCTCAATCTTAGTCTTTGCACTCTCTCGCTCTATTTGTCTCTCTCTCTCTCGCTGCCTAAATCGTGCTGCGTAGAAGTGTGTTTCAGTGAGTTTCTTTCAGTGTCACCAAAGTCAGATTAGCTAGCTCTTGACTATGAGTTGGCTTTTGTTGTAAATATTACGTTCGCTTTCGCACTCGCCATATGTATGAGTGTGTGCATTGCTTACACACAAACATACATATATAAACAATCGTGTACGAGTGTGTGTACGTGTGTGTGTATTCAACTTTTCGAGGTTTTAATGCGCAGCAACAGCAACGACTTGTTGAATTAAATATAAGTATGCTCAATGGCAAAGAGGCAACACGCCAGCAAACAAACTGTCGTCCATTCAGTCTTCTACGGCGAAAGCAAGAAGAGCTTCAACACACGTTCACACACGAACATCGCCGATGTGCGAGGCACTTCAGATTCCATGTGCCAGCATGTCATGTGCAGACTGCTACAAAACTTGTGCGAGATCGACTCGAGAAAAGCGATTAACTAGCACTTAACTCAAAAGCTTATGGCTAATAGAATAACTAAATAAATACACAATTGTTTTTTTTTCCCAAAATCTTTATTTATAATCCAATTTAAATGAAATGGGCTTAAATATTTTTTAGTCAAGTCAAAATAGGTCTTTTACCAATGTAAATGATGCCTTTCTTAGCTTATTTGGAACGACATTTTCTCTCTCTCTCTCTCTCTCTCTCTCTCTCTCTCTCTCTCTCTCCTGATAATAATTGTAGAATAACACTTGATATTTTGTTATTCGTGCTTGATCTCGTTTTTTTTTTCTTACAAAAAATATACACATTTATTTACTTGTTTAACTGATAAGTTTACACGCAAAAAGTGGTCGATCGACAAAAATAAGAGGACATGCATATGTATATTATTACATACGTGTGGTTGCACACACACACACACACGTATGTGCGTATATACATAGAGAAGAAAAATATATAAATAATTTCCTTAACGAAACTTACAGTGCACAATCGCAAAGTCTGACTAAACTAATATAATAAAAACAAACAAACTAGCTAACCAGAGGCCAGTGCGAAGTAAAAAAAAAAAACAAAATAAGAAGTGAAACAAAACAAAATACAAAATACATGGATCGTGGTGTGGATCCTGAACCATCGAACAGAATGGAGACATCGGCGACGACGACGCCGACGCCGGACTTGAACAGAGCGGATGCGTCCCGCAAAAGCGTTCGCCTCTATGCGGCACGCAAGGGAGTGGCGCCGGCTCCGCCCAAATTGGCGCTGGCCACGAGCAACAACAATAGCAATAGTAAAAATAAGAACAACAATAGTGATAGCGAAAACTTGCCCGATTACAGTGCACAGCTTGCCGGTACGGCGACTGCAAAGGAACTCGATCTCAGCGATGCACAGCATGTGGACTATGATGCAATCGTGGAACTGCGCAGACCGGGCGATATAGCTGTAGCCCCGCCACGGGTCGCAGTCTCGGCGATTCCTGCTTTTCAATTGCCAAACAAGAGCCGGCAAAAGGCTGCGCCACGAGTGCAGATGTCTGCCGAAGATGATGTGGGCGTGGCTTTCGCTTTGGGCTCCATTGAGCAGCACATTCTGAATGTCGAAGAGAGTTTTAAGCAGCAGCAACTCAGTGAGAATCAGCAGCAGCAGCAGCAGCAACAGTCCCAGTCTTCCATGGATGTCATGAAAATGGATATAATGCGCAAACAAAGTAAGCGTTACGGCGAGACGGAAAACCTGCTCCGGCCGGGCATCAGCGACATGTCCTCCGAGAACGACTTTCAGTACCTGGGCGGGCGGCGCTCCCAGCTGGACGATAGCAATGAGCAAATGCTAACGGAATTTCAAAGAGGCAGCGATGGACGCAACTCAATTGGCGCCTACTCGAAGAACTCGGCCGCTGCGGCCGGCGGCCCCTCGGGAGCGCTGAAGGCTAAGCTTGCCCGGACTGCCTCGGATACGAAGAATACGGATACGGTGCTGGCGATGCGCGCAACTTTGAAACAGAAGCAACAGCATCACGATGTCAAGCAGCAGCAGGCTGAGAGCAGATGGCGACCGACCACGACGACAGCTCCGACGCCAGCAGCAAGATCCACAGCGAGCCGGGGCAACAGCAGCTCCAGCGTTGTGGACGGAGGGTCCTCATCAAAGCTGACTGCCACCACGATATCGGCATCGAAGCGACGCGAGGAGAATCTACGCCAGTTCGAAGCGCTGCTGGCTCAAAAGTCCTCGCAGCCGCATCGACATGCAGCGGCTGCTGCAGCAACTGGATCTAGCGCCGGGTCTCACGCGACATCCGGTGGCAGCACGAGCTCATCAAAGCGGCGCTCCGAGCGTCCCATTGTGGCGCCTATACCGCCCTACAACTCAAGTCGTCCACCTGTCGAGCCAAGATCCGCAGCATCGGGGCCCGGACACCAACGAGCTGCTCCCAACGCGGCTGTGACACGTACCAATGTATACAGCAACAATGTTGCTCAGGTAAACCAAACAAAGCTCAGTCAAGATACAACAAAAAAAAATACATTCATGTTCAGATATAATAATTGCGGCTACTTTAATATTTCACGGGCGGGAATTAGGTCATAAATTGATTGAACACCTTGAAATTGGCTTCATTTTTAATCTGTTGTTATTTGGTGGCTTTTTGCAGGGATCCCCGAATCTGCAGATGCGCAGCAGTGCTCCGATGCGATGGCGCGCCACTGAGGAGCATATCGGCAAATACAAGCTCATCAAGACGATCGGAAAGGGAAACTTTGCCAAAGTAAAACTGGCAAAGCATCTACCCACTGGCAAGGAAGTAGCAATAAAGATAATTGACAAAACCCAATTGAATCCTGGGTCACTTCAGAAACTATTTAGAGAGGTAAGCTTCATTTATTTTTGAATATTTACATAATGCTAAAGCTTCTACTCCTTCTGTGTGTTATAGGTTAGGATAATGAAAATGCTTGATCACCCCAACATAGTTAAACTTTTTCAAGTTATCGAAACGGAAAAAACGTTGTATCTCATCATGGAATATGCATCGGGGGGTGAGGTGTTCGACTATTTGGTACTACACGGACGCATGAAAGAGAAGGAGGCGCGGGTCAAATTTCGTCAAATCGTATCGGCTGTGCAATACTGTCATCAGAAGAGGATCATACACAGGTCTATATCAATCTATATCTATATCAATCTGAATTAACGATCGATATCAATTGCAGTCTTCAATTAAAGACAAATCTGTAAATCAATATAAATTACTTCACCTAAAGTTTCAATATCCATGTATTAGTTGAAAAGAGTATTTAAAATTCCTTTTAAAGGGTTCAACTATGCATCATAAAGTTAATGCATCTGAGATCCCCTTCAAAATATTATATTTTACGACTTTGCTGCGAATAGCTTCTCTATATAGGGAAGTTTCCCGCCTAGGGAAACTATCTTAATTGATCCCTATTTAAATTTAAACAATTCGCTATTTACTCTATATATATTTTCTTCTTTTGTAAACAGGGACTTAAAAGCTGAAAACTTATTACTCGACAGCGAGTTGAATATTAAAATAGCTGATTTTGGTTTTTCGAACGAGTTTACGCCTGGCTCAAAGTTAGATACCTTCTGCGGCAGCCCACCCTACGCAGCACCCGAGCTCTTCCAGGGCAAAAAATACGATGGACCCGAAGTGGATGTCTGGTCGCTGGGTGTTATTTTGTATACGTTAGTGAGCGGATCCCTGCCTTTCGACGGTTCCACTTTGAGGGAGCTACGTGAACGTGTACTCAGAGGCAAATATAGGTATTTAAAAGTCATCTTAATTATTGATAATCTTTAATAATATTTTGTGTCTTGGAATAGAATTCCATTCTATATGTCGACTGATTGCGAAAATTTGCTGCGCAAGTTTCTAGTACTGAATCCTGCAAAACGTGCTAGTCTTGAAACAATCATGGGTGACAAGTGGATGAATATGGGGTTTGAGGACGACGAGCTCAAGCCCTATATAGAGCCAAAACAAGATTTAGCCGATCCCAAGCGGATAGGTAAGACGGGTACTGTATACGAAATTCATTACTAATATTATTAACGAATTGTGTGTCAAGTTTTGCCTGTTAATTATCTGTATTTTATGCAATGTGCTATTTCAATTTTAATTTAAAACAAATCGTTTTGTATTCTTTACATATACAGTAGAACTATCCAAAAGAGCTCTACAAACCATTCGATTCCCTTATAATTTTCCCAGTTGCTTACATACATAAATACGTACATATTTATTTAAAAATTCTATACAGCTGCGGGGGTACAAACCGGAGTTAAAGACTCAGCATCGATCCGACGCAGTGCTTTTGACTTGATGTTAATGCTGATCTTTTTAATTGGCGAATGGAAAATGCCACACCAAAATGTATGCAATCCCTTGGAGGAGAATCGTATTCTTTTTGGAATGGCAATCTTTAATATATGCTCTTTGTTTTCTTTCTCACCTTGTGTCTCTTACTTTTTTTTGTTTTGTTTCCAATTGAATGCTTCGTCGAATCGTTACATAACAGATCAACCGGGAGAAGAAATAAAATTATATATAGGTTACTAGCAAAAAGAGGAAAGCAAGTTCAATGCTAAGAAAAAGTCCATAAGATTTGTATTTGAATAACAAACATTTGGGTTATTTTATCAGAAAGTTTATTACACATATCTTTGCACATACATATCTCCGGTTTGTGTCCTTCAAATTCGATACAATAATAATTGTTATGTACTTATGTATGATGTTTCAATATACTTATATGTTTTGCTGTTTACCCAATAAATGCATGACAGTATTGTACATTTTGATATTATAAAGTAAATAAGAAGTCGCTAACTCTTCTAATTTGACGGCTTATGGAGCACACACAATTCTGGCAGTACTCGAACAATTTGCGAGAACTGTCAAGCAAAATATAATGTCAATGTAATGAATTTGCATGTAATGTATACTTAACAACAACTATCTAATTTGTTAAGTTTAATCTTTTTGAAAATGTTTACTCATGCCTGTGATTATCTTTTGTCAATGCGCAGAAGCTCTAGTCGCGATGGGCTACAATCGACAAGAAATCGAAGCGTCGCTGGCTCAGGTGCGATATGATGACGTGTTCGCCACATATTTGTTGCTGGGCCGCAAGAGCACTGATGTAAGTTGGACGCGGGCAGCGTATGGCATGTATTCATGGTGACTTCCTCTTTATTTAGCCTGAAAGTGACGGGTCGCGATCCGGATCATCGCTCTCGCTGCGCAACATTTCTGGTAACGAGGCTGGCGTCAATGCTGGCAATGCGGTTGTGCAAAGTCCCACGCATCGTGGCGTTCACAGAAGTATATCGGCGTCGAGTACCAAGCCCAGTCGTCGAGCTTCGTCCGGTGCGGAAACGTTACGTAAGTACAAATCCCGGCCTAAAAATATACGGATAACAACAACTCGTATCATTTCCTTGCAGGTGTTGGACCCCCAAACGCCACTACGACCGTGACAGCTGCTGCAATTGGCGTGGCACCTGTCAACCCGAGCAATAACTATAATGCTGTAGGATCAGCCGCCGATCGTGCATCAGTGTAAGTTCCATACGCAAAGCAAGCAGCCAAACATATGAGACCCGATATTTGTTGTACTGTCGAAAAGTTGTCTATAATTTTGAATATTTTTGTAGTCGAGCTGGGAGTGAAGCTGTCTTTGATAAATTTTACTTGCCAACAACTGAATCGATCCCTGTGTACGAACACATCGATTCTAAAGGCTTGAGAATTTATGTCAGGAATAAATCAATAAACGGATTAATCTCTGTTTGATAAAGAAGATCCATTTTTACGATTAGAAAACTAGAGACATATATGATTAGATCAGGTATAGACATATCGCTCCTTTATTTGAAGACTCTGTTATAGGTATTAATCTATAATATATCATCTATATTATCAGAATCTTAACCTGAGATTGTATCAAGTTATTTTTGCAAAAATTCTGTTTATCGAGTTAGGATAGGATAGTATAACAATCTGTTCTCGCTGATTTCTTTCTCAAAGTTGAAAATTAAAAATAAGTTTAAATAACGAGGCCTACATTATTATTATTTTTAATTTTGAGACTTGATTGCAACACTAGAAAGCCGTCGACACTGCAACACATTTCTATATTTCATTGTTCCTTTTGTAATAAACGTGTTAATTAATCATTTCATTTGCAGTGGTAGCAATTTTAAACGTCAGAATACGATTGACTCAGCAACAATTAAGGAGAATACGGCAAGACTGGCCGCACAGAATCAGAGGCCAGCGTCAGCCACACAGAAGATGCTCACCACAACAGACACATGTAATCTTGACTTGAATTGTGCGAAATGGTGTAGAGAATATTTTTCAACTGTTTTCCTGTTTTCCTTGCAGCGCTGAACAGTCCAGCTAAGCCGCGCACAACTGCTAAGTATGATCCCACTAATGGAAATCGGACAGTGAGCGGCACGAGCGGCATCATACCACGCCGCTCCACCACGCTGTATGAAAAGACTTCATCGACGGAGAAAACAAATGTTATTCCTGCAGAGACAAAGTACGTGAGCCCTGAACCATTTATCGTTTGTGTTGTTGGCACACCAATAATGAGCATTTGTTTGCCTTGGTATTGTTGTTGGTTTTTTTTATCTCTATATCATATTGCATCATCTAACATTTCAAGTGAAAGTTAAATAATCGCAGAACATATTCTATTTCGTTGGTGAGACTACCGAAGAAGAATTCGTAGTTGGACAGAGTTTTCGTAGTTCTCGCCTAGCTAGCTTTATTATTCTCCTCGGTTTGTAGTAGTTGTTTTTTTTTTTTTAGAGATACAGATACAAACAAATCACTTCATGTTGTGGATAGAGCAGTTACTACTTTGTACATATATCTATAGATAATCAGCGCACAATTGAGTTCTGTATTTATTTCTTAGTTGCAGTGCAAATGGCACAAAACAAAAATTATTATCAATATCGTTTCGTTTTCATGTTTTAATATCCCGTGGTGTGGTTTATGTTTGGTATTTAAAAAGGCTGAACATTCAAATTCAAACTCAATGACATTTTGACCACAACATATTTACAATTTAACCACTTTTTGACTAAACATATATTGTATAAACGTAACCAGCAGTGGATCTGCAGCTACCGCTGGAAAGGGCCATACTAAAAGCGCGTCTATTTCAAGCCCTAGGCCATCCACTGACGGATGCATATCAGTATCAATTGACCCCCTTGGATCGAGGTATACACTTGCATACATTAGCAAAACAAAAAAAAAAAAAAAAAAAAAAACATTACAAAAATTCTATATTTATGGTTAATTGTGTTTACATTTATGATTTTCTAATTTCAAACAAAAATTGGCGGCCTTTTTTTTATTTCAAGGGACGATTTTTCAAAGCTTTTCAAATTAACTCAATATTACGCAATGCATTTCAAACAAATCTGTAATATAGAAGAACAATATTCGTTTTATTAAGTGCACAAACATATCGAACGGGCGTTTTATTTATATAGATTTATATTTGTATATCTCTGCTCCAGGTTCATTGCCCATCAAAGGAGTATGAATATAATTTCAATTGTGAAACCAGCTTTGTTGATTGGGTTGTGGAATACCATTGTTTAATGTTTTTATTTTGTTCTGCTCGCCCAAAACAATCAAAAAAACAAATAACATTATAACAAGATGCATACACAATATTAGATATATGTATGGCTTGTTATTAGTATGACGTTTATCTTGCAGCATGTATATGTATACATTAATAGATATTGAATTTAAAAAGAAATTAGACCAATAATATCTTCCTATCGACGAAACATCAAATGTTTTAATTGTTTTCGATCTCATGAGCCTTGTCCAGGTGCTCTGTTTAATTAAATCTTTGGTGAATTGCGACTGCAAGTAAAAATGAGTATCGCAATCGCCTCAGATATTTTCTAGTTCTCAATGCTATAGCCAAAGTCTTGTGAAGATATCAAATATTGACGGGCCACAAACTCCTTAGGTCATTCCGCTGAGACTATCTGTTTGAAGAAGCTATTCAAACTTTATAGTTCCTTTCAGAAGAGGGGAGGTAGAGCTTGCCCAGAATCAAAGGGTTGTGTTCCACCTGTTTTCAGCTCTTACTCTAATGTGAGCAGAGGATCTGGCGTTCGGTATATGCCGACTGCAATGACATCTACTTAGTGGTATTTTATAGAATTGTTTTTGTCAATGCATTGGCCATCTTTGGTAGAACCAATCCTCAAATTCGTTTTTGGCATAAATAGAAGATGCATTTTGAAGATATGTGGTTCAGCGGGCTTTCATCTTGTGTGTGCTCGTGTTTGTTTTTGTTAACAGTTCAGTGAGTCGTTATTACTGGTTAGTATTAGTATTATATAGTGTAGCTATATGTTTGTTAATTTGTTGCTATCTAATTGAATTTAATAGTGTATTTGCTTTAGAGCTGTGTTCTGTTTGGTTTTATTATAACACTCGTTACAAATTTGATCAATTGAATAATGTAAATTTCTTATCTTTTCATGTTTTATACAATTTTGAACATTAACCGTTTATAAACCAATTGTCTAATTTTGATAACTGCTACACACTACATCCAATACATCCAATCTCCAAACTTCAATCTTTGTGGCGTATTCTATCAATGCAACTATAAATAACATCACCAACACCAACGAATATATGCAACAATCTTCTACGTGTTCTCGGTGTTCGTTCAAATATTATTATTATGCTGCTATTAACTAACGTTAAAACCCGTTAAAACCAATCAAAAATATTTAAATCCGAACGAATCGTTTACGAAAATGTAATATGGGTTTGAATTCTTCGAACTCGATTCAAATCAAATCAAATTCATTTTGGATTCGAACCGAACCGAACAAACTTTGGTGAGTGAAACTGCAAATATTTTATAAGAATCAAACAAATAAGAATAAGTATAAATAATTAGTGTAAATTCCATTTCAATTGCTTAACATTACATTCTGGCATGCGCGGTATTCAAGTCCAATGATATATTCTTGTATTTGTTTGTATTTTTTTTTTCAATATACTTTATATACTTAACTCGACATGCGATTGTGTCCGTTACGCTGAACCAAAATTAATGAATCCAGTAAAATAAATAAACTGTTTGCATTTATGTGTCTGCATACGATTTGAACAAAATATATGTAGGTAGTCAGTCCTAAACGAGATATTTAAATCACATAAGTTCTTCTTCATTGTGCATGGCAAATGCTATTCATTTGTAATACTTACTATTAAGAAAACAAAAACAAAAACCAAAAAACGATCCCATTAATTTGCCATACTCTAATACTCTATTGTTTTAAGCTTCCGATAATTGTACTCATTGGTAGACAAGTTTGTTGATGTTGTAACTTTGTGCAAGAATCACTCGTTCCCTTTCGACATATTTATCTACTTATACATTCATGCTCTCTATCCGTATGTACTCTCTTTTGAAACGTATGTACTTATACTCTAACTAGTTAATTTAATACGTGCAGCGCTTGCTAATGGTCCTTCTCATGTATAACTCTTATATACTAAGTCCAAGTACCTTACTCAAGAAAAAAAACGACCTAGTTATACTAAGCTATTTTTAGTGGTAACTCAAATAGAGTTGTGATTCGTCTGAAACAGATGCTAGAAAGTATATTATTCAGAGCTTTATCACCAGCTGCTCCTACATGAGAATGAAATTATGTATTCTTTGCGAATGCTGTAACTTATTGCTTTATGCTTACACACATGCATATATACATACATACATACATGTATTAATATGAATCAGTCCCAGAACTCATGAGTATCCGAACTTTTTACCAAGTACATTTCATAGCACTTGCAGTGTCCGTCAGGATATTCATTATCCATTTTGGGAACGCTTGCTAGCTGCGTAATATCTTGAAGCTATGCTCTATTTTCAAGGCTCTTATTGCATTCAGTTAATTTCCTTGGCTATGCTTGAACAACTATCTGACTATTATATATTTGAATATATATTTATGTTTAAGAAACGTATTGTTAAGTGCTCGTTTTATTTACAAATTTACATGATTTTTATATATCTTTTTCTTTTCATTTTGTTTGTGTCTACAACATGATTACCAAACCAATATAAACTGCGATAATCGTTTGATTACCGTTACCGTTACCGTTACCGTTACCACCATCACATTAACCAATCAAAATAATCTGCTTGATTCGCGCTGTCTCTCGTGTCCGCCCTGCCCTGTACACATATCGTCATTGCGCCAATACAAATGCAATTCAAATACAAACAACAACAACAACAACAACAACAACAACAACAACAACAATAAACGACGCACACAAACGCAATACTTTGGATTGGATCGATTTGATGATGATGACGTACTTTGCTCATTATTAAATTAACACGCACACAAACACACACACACACACACACACACACACACACTCGAAAACGATTTAACGGTCCAATCGATTACACACACACACACATTGCACAAATATCAAATGATTAACTGTATACTGATAAAAAACATTCGTTTTCTGAAATGCAATTCATTGGACTATAATGTACAACCTCCACGAACTGACAATGATTCGATATATCCATTCATACGTATGTGTGCATATGTATTGTACCTGTACATATATATAGTCTGTTCGATCGACTTAGAATGGCATCGGCTGTTAAATCAAGCAGACACTTTCCAAGGAATGTTCCATCACGTTCAACCTTTCACTCTGGTGAGTTTTTCTGTTTAATTATTTTTATTAGTTTTAGTCAAATAACTTAATTTTACTCACAATTTTACTAAACAACAAATTTTATATACTTATCTATATAGACTAAAATAATAATGATAATCGACATTTTGTTAAGTTTTTTTTTCTTATTCGGCTTTCGTTTAATCATTCAAAAAAATGTTTACTTACGTCTTGCGCACGTGCAATACATGATATTGTAATGCCTGTCTAAATTTAAGATAATCAATTATTAATCTATTTTTTTTATTATCATTATTATTATGATTACTATTAAATATTTTGTTGTGCTTTGTCGTTGTCTTCTGCATCCGTCCCACATCGCTTCTCATTTTAGTAAATCGCATAATTTAATGTTTGTTTGGATCATGCACGATTGTCATAATATATATATATATATATATGTATATATTTATATAGATCCTATTCAAACAGATATATACTCTATTCCTAGTGGAAATGATCTATTGATATCTTATTAGTATTGTTGACAACACTTCTCTTATCCTAAATAATATCTATACCAAAAATGTTCAATTAATTAGTTATCAGAAATATGTCTGTATATACTTCAAAAAGTTGATAGTTTTAATATAAATAAGATTGTTTATAGGTGCACATATTCTAGTTAAATACACAATAAATCAAAATAACTATTTTAAGTGTATATATGTGTGAACTATTCAAAACGGGATTCTCGATTATCCATAATGAGCTCCATAGTGAATCAGTTGTATATATATATTATTATTTTTTGAAGTTAAGGATTAGGATTTTGTAAAGATCAATATTTAGACATTATCACAATGTTGTGATTTTTCAGTTTATTTATTATACATATATTATAGATCATATATTATAGGATTCTATATTGGGTCCGTCTGTCCTTGTTGAATATAAGAACTTGAAGTATAATATATTTATTAGGCTTATATGGCTAGATCGGAATATGGAGAACCATTTCTATTTTTAGAGCTAGGGATAGGGCTGAAAGATTGAGTCTCTGTCCACGACTCATCTTTATTTATTTGGATGTTTGTCTGTTATTGGGCTGTGTAAGAGTATCTTGCAGTCGGTTGCAGCCGACCAGTGTTGGTTAGTGTTTGAGGGAACTATTCACTTAGCATCTGGACTCGAACAGATTGGCTATAACTGAAAAGTTCGATTAACTTGTTTTATTTGTATTATAAGAATCGATATTGTTATATATATGCATATTTCTTATATCTGTGTTAGTTAGTTGAGCACATTTCGAATCTAGGATATACTAACGATTTAGAAATTATGTAGTTAGTCCCTAGATACCTAAGTCGATCTGTATTGTTTGTAATTGTATCTAATATATGGACGTTTGTTCTTGTAGGTCAAACCAGGGCCAGAAACAACACCGCGCTGGAATACTCTGGTACAAGTGGCGCCTCCGGTGACTCGCCGCATCCGGGTCGGATGAGCTTTTTTTCGAAACTTTCCTCCCGTTTTAGCAAACGGTAAGTTTCGAATGACTTCTCATTATATTATTATTGGTTATTGTTTCTTCTGTTTATCGAAATATGTTACAAGAAAAGAAAATGCAGTTTAAATTCCGTATTTTTTTTATTTTTATTATTTTCCTATTATTATAACTGTTTGTTTTCATTTCTTTTCTTTTGTTTTTCTTTTTTTTTTTTGATTTATTTTTTTTTTTAAATTTAATTTTTGTTTCATGTTTCATTTTTGCATATTTACACACATACACATATGTACATATGTATGTGTTTATGTTTTGTACCAAATCCGTTTTAATGAATGAACCTTGGGCTAGACCCCAGAACTGAGGTCAAGCCCGGAATAATATACGTTCACAGGCTGTGATCTTTACAGCTGTATTAAACTAGTTAATCGATTGATGATACTAACGAATCCTAACTGTATACCTAATGGGCATAAGAAGCATTTGATTTGAGAACTCAACACAAGGAATCTGTCTCTATCGCAATATCTAATACAATATCAAATTAGTTTTGTCAGTTATCAAAATTGATCTGCATTAGTGAGGTCTCAAAAAAGGATGTTGGAGAGTAGAATAAGGTTGCAAATATTTGATCATAATTTATTGGTATTACCATGAAGAATATTTGGAAATATTTGGTTTCAATTCGCTGCCGCACGCTTTTCCCATGCACATCTAATATGAACATCACAAGTCGCACTTAAACATCCAACTAATTGAAAATATAAGGCTTAAGTTAATTGCAATTGAGTATCGCTGGGGTCAAGTCCTTTGGGGGCACGTCCTTTGGCATGCCTTGGGCCAAGTTGTTGCCAGAGCAGAGCTCACAATTAACGTAGGGCCTTTTGGTTTTTTATAGTTAATTATAATTTGTATGTTTCGAAAGTAGCTCATTCATCTTTAATTTGCATGCAGATTGTTGCTCTGTTGCTTTGCATATTATTATTAATTGTGAATTTATTGAAATGTTTGTCGAACTCCTTTTCATTTGTTACTTGTAATTGTTTGTGCATATATGAAAATTGTTGTTTGTGCCTATTTTTGTTTATTCTTATTCATTTAAACTAACAGTGTTTTTTAAAAAAAAAAGAAAGTATGTTAATATCATAAACACATAATACTTATGTAGATATGTACACAGGGAAATTGGTTAAGAATGAATTCGAATATTTACATCAACATAAGTAAAAAACACAAAAAAGAATATAAATATAACAAAAAAAAAATAAAATAAAAATAAAAACACGGCTCTCAGATTTGAGACTGTGTGTGTGTTTTTTTTGTGCTAGACTCAACTCAACTCAACTAAATTTAATTCAATGATTCGGATACAAAACAAATACAAAACTTCGCATACATACATACATATGTAACTACGTGCAATGTATACATATTAGTTGAATGGACAGCATCCAATTGCCAGGATCTGTAGATTCTTTTAAAGCGCGCTCTCTCCGTCACTTTTACCTACTATCTTGTACATAAGCAGGGTATTAAGTCTTTATGTCCAACTTTTTCTATCTTCCTTTCTGCGATTGCCTATGTATTGCCCATGTACGTGTATACATTTTCATCCCACTAATAGGAAGCCAGCCTCAACTTGTTCTTGTCTGTTTTTATTCCTATTCATATACAAAAAATAAAAATATAAAAAAAAATGAACATTTGACATCTTAAACTTTGTTTAATTCTAATTATTAAAAGATATTGCGTTTACTTTTCTTTTCCAATAATTCCATAATGAAAAAAAAAAAAAGAAAATAGTTGAAAGAAGAAAGCAAAAGAGAAGAAAAGAAAGAAAATGTTGTTTTAGTTTTTATCATTATTCCGTTTTATTCTTATTTGTTTACTTTCGTTTCATTTCTCGTATTTGTTTTTTTACCCATTATTAATATTTTTTCCAGCCGTGAATAATTTGTTTAAAATTTTTTCTTTAATTTTAGGCCAAACCAGTAATTAACAAAACAAGCAATTAACTACTTCTTGTTAATAGTTCGTTCTAAAACTGAAACAAACAAACAAACAAACGATTCCCCCTAAAGTAAACGCTCGTGACGAACAGAGAGAGAGAGACAGAGAGAGAGAAAGAAAGAGAGATACAGATATGTTACAGATATAAAATCAAACACAGATAAAAGATACAAGATCAGATCGGAGCGTTTCAGTTCGATTTTGATTCTTTCCGATTCGTAATCCCCTTCAAAAGAACGTCGACAACGTTGAGTTACGTTACGTTACGCTACGTTACGTTACGTTACGTTAATAGAAATTCACAAAGAAAGCGTCTATGTTTTACTACAATTATTAACTAATTATACTTACACATTTATATAAATTAAAATACACACACACACACACACACACACATATATATATATATTTAAAAGTAAAAATCAACAACAACAAACAGATACCAACAATTCTTTGTTTTCTTTGTTTGTAAACTAATTCAATTCAGTTCAACTCGATTCAATTCGATTCGATTCGATTCAATTTGATTCAATTTGATTTGATTTGATTTGAGTTCTCGACTTCAAATCACAAATGAAATTCGAAAATATAATACGCATAGGCTGTTGCTATGTCATTGTCACTATTTTCCATATTGTTTTACTGCTAAAACTGAAACTGAAACTGAAACTAAAACTAAAAACTAGTAATGCTATCTAAAATATTAACGTTATATTGCGAAGCGCTATCTTAGTAATTACATATAATATGTATGCATATATCACGTATATTTATCCGAATCGTTTAAGTTCACACCAAAAGCAGCTGCGAGTTATCAACAAAAATACAAAAAAAAAAAGCAAAAACAAAAAATATGAATTCAAATTTACCAATACCACAATACAAATGTATCTATATCTATGTACGTATGTATGCAGGTTGAAATATGTATTTAAACTGTTCCGAAAATCATATACAATCACGATTAATAATAATAATAATAATAATAATTATAATAAAGATTGATAAAAAACACACTGATTATTATGAAGTTGAAGTCGAAGCGCATCAAACGAGCGTATTTAGTAATTTAAGAACAATGATTAGTTACCATAAAGAAAACTATCTTTAATCAAGGATTAAATATGTATTAAAACAACGTGCATGTGACCATTTTATTTGTACAGATGATTATCTATAAATCGTGTTATCGGGCACCTTCAGTGGTCTGATTAGTTATATATATTAAGTTTCAAAGAAAATAACATAATTAAATAAATGAATAATTTAATTAGAAATAAATTATGTGGAAAATTTGTTAAACAAAGCAAATATTTCAACTTTAAATGCATTCGAATTTTATTTCTCTCTCCATCCTAGACCTATGCTCGTTTCCCCAACATCAAAAATTCCAATTTTTAGTTAATACAAAATTAAAGCCCAACAGTTCTCATTTACAATTCTATGAAATACTAAATGGAAGAGTTATCAAATCTTGAAACAGAAAAAAGTAAATTGTTTATTTATTTATTTAAGTGACAGATCTTTGGGGTTCTTCTTTTAACTAGCGCTTATAATTTTCGAGTCATGCTTGTTTTAAATTTTATAAATGGAAGATTTCAATAATATAAATATATATATATATTTTCAATATTAAGTTTCAAGCTAGATAGAAAGCTTGTTTAATGGGAAAGTAATTTGCACTTTTATATGCATTTAAACACATTTTAATGTTTTTTGTTTTCTTGATGTAGTACAGTGAAAGCTCCCAAAGCGGACAGCTCTCATAGCCGGACGCTTTATAAAAAGACTTTCCAAAAACTGAAATGGGGACAGAATCAATAAAACTCATTAACTAGGATTCCATTAAATCTGTAGATAGCCCTTTTACCAATTCCTGTTCATAACAATCCTGCTGCCAATGAAAAATATTTGATCTATTAAAGAAAAACTGTAAAATTTGTTGTGACAAATATTAGGTACGCGAAATTGTCGAGTTAAAACTGGCAAATTACTAACTTACTACAAAAATTAACAATAACAGAAATAATATAGTTTAACTCCAATAAAGCATTTAAAATAAAAACGTTTGTACCTCTGCCACGGTGGGTATTCGGCTAAGCGAGGGTATATATGAACAAATTTCCAAGCCAGGGTATATCTTTTAGTCGGGCCTCATTGATTTCACAAATCTTATAGGCTTTAAAAAGTGAAGGTGACTCAATGTCTGTAGATATGATTCAATCCTTGCCATTGTCCATAGGTAGACTTTACTAATAAAAGACATCGAGTTAGTATTTATTTAAATCGGTAAAAAGGTAAGGTTAAGGTTTAATACCCAAGGAAATGGCAATGAAAACTATCTTAACTTTTAAAGCAATCGATATTTGAATGAAAAGGGAAAAGTGTGGACTGTTTCGGCTGTTAGACTATACTGTGAATCCCTTAAGATCAAGAGATTCTTCTACGTCATATCAAAAACAGACGTCGCTCAATATGGAAGATTTCTTCAGAGATTCGTACAGGATATCGACAAAATTAGATTAAAAGTTTGGCGTTTGTAAATCTTTTATTCCTCGAGCAGAACAACTTTGGTATAGATAAGCTTGAGTAGTTACCCATTTCTAAAATTGCTGCAGAACTTTCATCAGTAAATACCTTTGAAGTTGCTTTCTATCTTTTCTATCTTATCTTAAGTTGAATCGAAATTCGTAATTTTTTATCTTTATAATAGCGATTTGGGCATCTTGTTTGAGAATCGAATACAGGGACTAAAGATGGGAGCAGGCCACGTCTCTTTAACAACACTCCTACAAATTATACCCAGCCCAACCAAACAAATGAATCATACTCTCCAATTTCATATTTTTCGACTGGTCTTAGTTATTAGATTAGATTTTCAACGAAATATGCCAACTATCGACCAGTTTTAAGTCGAAAGTTTTACCTGATAATGTTGTTCTTACAGCGGCTCATTTTAGGGATCATGCTCTTCATGTGGGAGTAGGTTGCTTCGTCCAAATGCAGTTCTTGTATAAAAAACTATCTGGTTTTGTAAGATAATTAATTACAAAACAAACTCCAGCCCTGAGAAGGATAAACAGGAGCTCCTCTTACCTCTTGCCAATAACAGAGGATTTTAGGCAGCACGAGGATATTAGAAAGAAATGCATTAACTAATAAAAGTCGCAATGAACATGTCTACAAAGGCAAATATAGTCTTTAACAAATAAATAAATTTATATATGATGGGGCTTAAGTTATTAAAAATAAATGGCTAAAAGGTATTCTTAAGCTCAGAGCTAGCTGTCCACATACTTATTTCAACTTTGTTTTATTTGGTTTCTTTTTGGTAACACATTAAGTAATTAACGAATTAATTTTTAGTACATCTACCACGGAAGAGGCGGCCAAGCCAAGAGTTTTGCGATTTACATGGTCCATGAAGACCACATCCCCGCTGATGCCCGATCAAATAATGCAGAAGATAAGGGAAGTGCTGGATCAAAACAATTGCGATTACGAACAACGCGAAAGGTAAGTCTACATATTATAGTTAACTGATATATTAAGTATAATGTTTGTTTTTGTAACAGGTTTGTGCTTTGGTGTGTGCACGGCGATCCGAACACAGATTCGTTGGTCCAATGGGAGATTGAGGTGTGCAAGTTGCCGCGACTCTCATTGAACGGGGTGCGCTTTAAACGCATTTCTGGTAAGTGCATCTTTATGAAGTTGTTTAAGTTAATTGAGTTTGTCTTTCGGTTTATTCAGGTACAAGCATTGGCTTCAAAAACATTGCGTCTCGCATTGCTTTTGACCTCCGTCTGTGACTTAATAAAACGACTAACGAAAGCTGTACAGCCGCCACCACCAGTACCAGCACCACCACCACCATCACCACCGATAGCGACACAACAAAACCAACCACCTCCACTGCCAGATACCAGATGGCCAGCGGCAGTAGCAAGCTGTCTGGGCAATCGATGCTGCGTCGCTCGGTCAGCAGTCACCAGAGATCGAATCGGTTCAAGCTAAGTCGATTGCCCGGCATCAGGCATGATGGACACAAGAAGACGGGCGTGCTGTCCTCGGCTTTTCAGATTTACTTGCCCTTCAGATCGAAGGATACTTTGAAATCCCAAGTCAAATTTGACGCGTCTCGCTCAATCGGTTATGAAAAGCAGACTGAAGAGCATCCACAGCTGGAACCAATAAATGTTATGTTGCCGGAGAACGCCGATTGTATAATGCCCAGTAACTCAATTGAATCTCAAGGGCTAAGCCAAAACAAGGATGCAGCAGCTGGCGGTGGTGGTGACAACGATCGGAATATTGATCTGCAAAAACTGCCTGGTGGCAGTGAGCTGAAAGCAAGGGGAAGCAGCAGCAGCAGCAGCGGCAGTCGCAGAGGAAACCGATTTAAAAGGAACATCAAGAATACCGGAAGTCTAATTGTGCGCAAATTGACTGCCTCCCGTTACGGGGGCGACACAGGCAAGGCAGGCGGCGGGCCAACATCAAAGCACTCGGACGAGCAGAATGTTATAAATAACGATAAGCCAAACAACACCAAACAGAAAGTAGCAATGTTACGCACCACAACTCTCTAAGTACATGGATATATAGAATACATCAAGAAGGAACAGGATCCGGGCTCTTGTGGCAGCGCATGTATTTGTCTCCAATCATAGTATGACACTAGCATAGAATCTCAAGTAAAAGTTAATGTTTTACATTTATTCATTGATCTATCGCGTATTGAATATCTTATACTTATAATAACAGCCGAGCAGACAAAAATTACCCACAACTTAAGTACATAAGCACCAACACATGCATACATATGTCATATGTACACCTATATATTGATATCGTTAATTGCTAGACAGCGTAGGTGAGAGCCACACCGTTTTAATTCAATAAAATGAAGAAAAACAAAAACAAAAAAAAATATATATATAACATAAAAAATCAACGCTATAGAACGCATTTTTTACCCCGTGGATTTAAAGTACACATTAAAGAGGCATAATACTAAATTTTGTTGTTAATTAATTTAGGTTTATGTTTGGCTTTTTTCGTTCGTTTCGTTTCGTAAAATAACACAGAAATAAACCAAAATAAATGAAACAACAAATTGATTGACAGTTGTTATATGAACTCATATTTCTTACGTCGGCTATAAAATCTATTTTAAATTATAAATGCGTTTGTAGCAGATGAGCTTATTTCCTTAAATGAGTTAAAGCCCAAGCTGCAAGTTACACAAAGCGAAGCTGCAAACATAAAATTTTTAAAATTGTATATTGTATTTATATAATTATATTTATTTAACCACTTCTCAAAGTTAGTGTTTTTACATTCTATATTTGTGGCATTCCTGAAACTGATTTTGATTTGATCTTTGACTTCGAATATCCGTTTGACAATTGGCGCAAAAGCACAAAATGCCGAAAAAAAGTCTAAAAAAACAGGAAAACTAGGAGGATCTACGTTGGAAATTTCAAGCGTCCAGCTTCTATAGTTTTTGAGATCGGACAGACAGACGAACATGCTTGTTCGCTTGCTTTTTGGTCGATTTGGGTCAAAATTTAGATTTTCTATTTTTTGATGCCAGTCGATAGTACTGATCCTTACGAGTCCAAAATGGTATAATATTTGAAAATCGGACACTATTTGGCCGAGATATTCAAAAAAATCATCAAAAAAGGTTTGATTTTCGAACCGAACCCGATTTTGATAAAAATCGTGATGTAACCCCTTGCCATTTTGGTCGATTTGGGTCAAAATTTAGATTTTCTATTTTTTGATGCCAGTCGATAGTACTGATCCTTACGAGTCCAAAATGGTATAAAATTTGAAGATCGGACACTATTTGGCCGAGATATTCAAAAAAATCATCAAAAAAGGTTTGATTTTTGAACCGAACCCGATTTTGATAAAAATCGTGATGTAACCCCTTGCCATTTTGGTCGATTTGGGTCAAAATTTAGATTTTCTATTTTTTGATGCCAGTCGATAGTACTGATCCTTACGAGTACAAAATGGTATAAAATTTGAAAATCGGACACTATTTGGCCGAGATATTCAAAAAAATCGATAGTACTGATCCTTACGAGTCCAAAATGGTGTAAAATTTGAAGATCGGACACTATTTGGCCGAGATATTCAAAAAAATCATCAAAAAAGGTTTGATTTTTGAACCGAACCCGATTTTGATAAAAATCGTGATGTAACCCCTTGCCATTTTGGTCGATTTGGGTCAAAATTTAGATTTTCTATTTTTTGATGCCAGTCGATAGTACTGATCCTTACGAGTACAAAATGGTATAAAATTTGAAGATCGGACACTATTTGGCCGAGATATTCAAAAAAATCGATAGTACTGATCCTTACGAGTCCAAAATTGGAGTTATGTCGTTTTCAAACGTCATATCTTCCGCGGATACATGTCGTTTTTAGAGCGGCGGAGTTATGTCGCTTCAAAACGACATAATCTCGCCATGATCAGCGGCGGAGTTATGTCGTTTTCAAACGTCATAATTTCGCCAGAAAGCATACAAATTCAAAAAGGTATAATATTTGAAAATCAGACTTTATTTCCCCGAGATATTCAAAAAAAATCATCAAAAAAGGTTTGATTTTCGAACCGAACCCGATTTTGATAAAAATCGTGATGTAACCCCTTGCCATTTTGGTCGATTTGGGTCAAAATTTAGATTTTCTATTTTTTGATGCCAGTCGATAGTACTGATCCTTACGAGTCCAAAATGGTATAAAATTTGAAGATCGGACACTATTTGGCCGAGATATTCAAAAAAATCATCAAAAAAGGTTTGATTTTTGAACCGAACCCGATTTTGATAAAAATCGTGATGTAACCCCTTGCCATTTTGGTCGATTTGGGTCAAAATTTAGATTTTCTATTTTTTGATGCCAGTCGATAGTACTGATCCTTACGAGTACAAAATGGTATAAAATTTGAAAATCGGACACTATTTGGCCGAGATATTCAAAAAAATCATCAAAAAAGGTTTGATTTTCGAACCGAACCCGATTTTGATTAAAATCGTGATGTAAGCCCTTGCCATTTTGGTCGATTTGGGTCAAAATTTAGATTTTCTATTTTTTGATTTGAAAATCGGACACTATTTGGCCGAGATATTCAAAAAAATCGATAGTACTGATCCTTACGAGTCCAAAATTGGAGTTATGTCGTTTTCAAACGTCATATCTTCCGCGGATATGTCGTTTTTAGAGCGGCGGAGTTATGTCGCTTCAAAACGACATAATCTCGCCATGATCAGCGGCGGAGTTATGTCGTTTTCAAACGTCATAATTTCGCCAGAAAGCATACAAATTCAAAAAGGTATAATATTTGAAAATCAGACTTTATTTCCCCGAGATATTCAAAAAAAATCATCAAAAAAGGTTTGATTTTCGAACCGAACCCGATTTTGATAAAAATCGTGATGTAAGCCCTTGCCATTTTGGTCGATTTGGGTCAAAATTTAGATTTTCTATTTTTTGATGCCAAAATTGGAGTTATGTCGTTTTCAAACGTCATATCTTCCGCGGATATATGTCGTTTTTAGAGCGGCGGAGTTATGTCGCTTCAAAACGACATAATCTCGCCATGATCAGCGGCGGAGTTATGTCGTTTTCAAACGTCATAATTTCGCCAGAAAGCATACAAATTCAAAAAGGTATAATATTTGAAAATCAGACTTTATTTCCCCGAGATATTCAAAAAAAATCATCAAAAAAGGTTTGATTTTCGAACCGAACCCGATTTTGATAAAAATCGTGATGTAAGCCCTTGCCATTTTGGTCGATTTGGGTCAAAATTTAGATTTTCTATTTTTTGATGCCAGTCGATAGTACTGATCCTTACGAGTCCAAAATGGTATAAAATTTGAAGATCGGACACTATTTGGCCGAGATATTCAAAAAAATCATCAAAAAAGGTTTGATTTTTGAACCGAACCCGATTTTGATAAAAATCGTGATGTAACCCCTTGCCATTTTGGTCGATTTGGGTCAAAATTTAGATTTTCTATTTTTTGATGCCAGTCGATAGTACTGATCCTTACGAGTCCAAAATGGTATAAAATTTGAAGATCGGACACTATTTGGCCGAGATATTCAAAAAAATCATCAAAAAAGGTTTGATTTTCGAACCGAACCCGATTTTGATAAAAATCGTGATGTAACCCCTTGCCATTTTGGTCGATTTGGGTCAAAATTTAGATTTTCTATTTTTTGATGCCAGTCGATAGTACTGATCCTTACGAGTCCAAAATGGTATAAAATTTGAAGATCGGACACTATTTGGCCGAGATATTAAAAAAAATCGATAGTACTGATCCTTACGAGTCCAAAATTGGAGTTATGTCGTTTTCAAACGTCATATCTTCCGCGGATATATGTCGTTTTTAGAGCGGCGGAGTTATGTCGCTTCAAAACGACATAATCTCGCCAAACGTCATAATTTCGCCAGAAAGCATACAAATTCAAAAAGGTATAATATTTGAAAATCAGACTTTATTTGCCCGAGATATTCAAAAAAAATCATCAAAAAAGGTTTGATTTTCGAACCGAACCCGATTTTGATAAAAATCGTGATGTAACCCCTTGCCATTTTGGTCGATTTGGGTCAAAATTTAGATTTTCTATTTTTTGATGCCAGTCGATAGTACTGATCCTTACGAGTCCAAAATTTGAAGATCGGACACTATTTGGCCGAGATATTCAAAAAAATCATCAAAAAAGGTTTGATTTTCGAACCGAACCCGATTTTGATAAAAATCGTGATGTAACCCCTTGCCATTTTGGTCGATTTGGGTCAAAATTTAGATTTTCTATTTTTTGATGCCAGTCGATAGTACTGATCCTTACTAGTACAAAATGGTATAAAATTTGAAAACCTGACACTATTTGGCCGAGATATTCAAAAAAATCATCAAAAAAGGTTTGATTTTCGAACCGAACCCGATTTTGATTAAAATCGTGATGTAAGCCCTTGCCATTTTGGTCGATTTGGGTCAAAATTTAGATTTTCTATTTTTTGATGCCAGTCGATAGTACTGATCCTTACGAGTCCAAAATGGTATAAAATTTGAAGATCGGACACTATTTGGCCGAGATATTCAAAAAAATCATCAAAAAAGGTTTGATTTTCGAACCGAACCCGATTTTGATAAAAATCGTGATGTAACCCCTTGCCATTTTGATCGATTTGGGTCAAAATTTAGATTTTCTATTTTTTGATGCCAGTCGATAGTACTGATCCTTACGAGTCCAAAATTGGAGTTATGTCGTTTTCAAACGTCATATCTTCCGCGGATATATGTCGTTTTTAGAGCGGCGGAGTTATGTCGCTTCAAAACGACATAATCTCGCCAAACGTCATAATTTCGCCAGAAAGCATACAAATTCAAAAAGGTATAATATTTGAAAATCAGACTTTATTTGCCCGAGATATTCAAAAAAAATCATCAAAAAAGGTTTGATTTTCGAACCGAACCCGATTTTGATAAAAATCGTGATGTAACCCCTTGCCATTTTGGTCGATTTGGGTCAAAATTTCTATTTTTTGATGCCAGTCGATAGTACTGATCCTTACGAGTCCAAAATGGTATAAAATTTGAAGATCGGACACTATTTGGCCGAGATATTCAAAAAAATCATCAAAAAAGGTTTGATTTTTGAACCGAACCCGATTTTGATAAAAATCGTGATGTAACCCCTTGCCATTTTGGTCGATTTGGGTCAAAATTTAGATTTTCTATTTTTTGATGCCAGTCGATAGTACTGATCCTTACGAGTCCAAAATGGTATAAAATTTGAAGATCGGACACTATTTGGCCGAGATATTCAAAAAAATCATCAAAAAAGGTTTGATTTTCGAACCGAACCCGATTTTGATAAAAATCGTGATGTAACCCCTTGCCATTTTGGTCGATTTGGGTCAAAATTTAGATTTTCTATTTTTTGATGCCAGTCGATAGTACTGATCCTTACGAGTCCAAAATGGTATAAAATTTGAAGATCGGACACTATTTGGCCGAGATATTAAAAAAAATCGATAGTACTGATCCTTACGAGTCCAAAATTGGAGTTATGTCGTTTTCAAACGTCATATCTTCCGCGGATATATGTCGTTTTTAGAGCGGCGGAGTTATGTCGCTTCAAAACGACATAATCTCGCCAAACGTCATAATTTCGCCAGAAAGCATACAAATTCAAAAAGGTATAATATTTGAAAATCAGACTTTATTTGCCCGAGATATTCAAAAAAAATCATCAAAAAAGGTTTGATTTTC